ATTAAAGGTGCCTGCAACTTGGGCTTTGGTAGACTTCAAGTCTGTTGAGCTATAAGTCTCGTTTCATCAAGAGCTTCATTTTTAGCAAGCCTTATCTTTACATTTTCTTTTGGATGTATGGGTTGTGTTGCAGGGTTGTGTTGCAATCCTTAAAGAGTCCAATTGAACTTCTAGAGGAAGAAAAACTTCTGCCCCAAATACCAAACTATATGGTATGCATGTAGTGGTTGTCCGCGTTGTTGTTCGATATGTCTAAAGTTCTTTAGGGAGGCATTCATGCCAATCTCTTTTATACTTCGATACCATCTTCTTAAGTATTTTTCAAAGAACTTTGTTGAAAGCTTCTGCTTGTCCATTTGATAAGGGGTTATAAGCTACAGATTTAGCACGCTGGAATTTATATTCCTCAGCTAACTTTATAATAGCCTTGCACTTAAAGTACGAGACATTATCCGATATAATTTTAGAGGGATGTCCATATCTGTATATGATATGGTTTTGAATGAAGTTGGCAACAGAGAATCAGACAAAGAAGAACTAAGTAAAGCCGAGGATGCCCTGATTGAGATTTCTCGAACTCTAGTGCAAACAGACGGCCCAGCCTATGCCCCTTCCCTTTCACCTTCCCAGTGTACCGGTCCTATATCAAGCAACCATCATGAGAAAAGGTAAGAACATTTCCTTCATCAACAAGCTGGCCAACAGAAATCAGTATAGTAGTAAGGTTGGGTACTAAGAGGGTTTTGGAGAGAGGGAAGGATCTGGTTAGTGACAGTTGAAGGGACAGATCATTACTACCAATGATGTCTAATTTTTCACCATTAGCAGTAATAATATGTTTATGGTGAGTTTTAGTGGAAGGGTTTGGGTGATTGAGGTAGGCTCCTGTCATATGGTTGGTGGCACCTAAATTTATAATCCAAGCATGTGAAGGGGAAGAACAATATGCATAAAACTTACCAGACAAGCCAATAGCAGAGAAAGTAGAGGAAATAGCAAAAGATACCAGTTGCCGAACCCTTTCTTCATCCATGACACCTGTTGTCCTTTCACTGAAAACTCACCCTTGGTGGATACAATGTCTGTTGCTTGTCCATTTGTTGCCTGATAGGCCCGGAGCTGAGTCTTTTTCTAAAAGCCCTTAGTTGGTCGGACTGGACAGTTTGGAATGATGCGACCATGTTGCTTGCAATAGGTATAGACATTCTTCTTATAGTGAGATGCAATATGTCCAAAACCCTTACACTCATAGCACTGGGTTTTGGAGAAATCCTTGGAGGTTGGCTTCTTACCCCCATGAGCAACAAAGGCTGTTTCAGCCCCAACTTCAGTCATCTTCCCATCAAACCCGGCTGTAGTGAGAAGTCTAGTCTCTTCCCTCAGAAGTTCCCCTAAAACAGAATCCATATCTGGAAGTGTTCCCCTACTCAGAATGTTGGACCTAATTATCTCATATTCAAGTCTAAGTCTCATCAAGAACCGAGTCACCTTTCTCTTCTTAAAGTGCTTCTGAAGATATTTCACACATTCTACTGGATCCGAGGGTTCAATGTGAACAATCTCATATTCAGCCCATAAATCAAGAAACCAGAATAATACTCCTGTATCCTCCTATCACCTTGGCTGTAAGAAAATATTTCTGATTCTATTTGATATTGTTTAGATACATAGGATTGTTGATAAACTTTTTCTAGATACATGTACATCTCATATATTGTTTTCATTCTCCTCATAGGCACAAATATGTGATAGTCAATAGAACTCAAAATCCAAGAAACAAGTTTACCATTATCCAACTTCCATTGTTGTAAAGCCTTGGCCTTGGTCTCAGTTGGTTTGGTGACCGTTCCATTTAGATATCCTTCTAAACCCTTTCCTTCAACACAAAAGTCAAAGTGGAACTTCCACATCCCATAGTTCTGTCCATTCATCTTCACAAGAATGATATCACCTCTGTCTGAAGCCATTACAACAAGAAAGTAGTACAAAATAGGGTTTGACTGAAGTTTAAAGGAACTAAATTGAAGTAAAACTTGATCCAAAAATGAGCTAAATAAGCTGTAATCAATCCAAGAGAGTAAAAAAACTGAGAAAGAAACCCCTTACTTTCATCGAAGATTGTTTAAGATTCAATGAAAAGGAAAACTTAACACACAGTCCAGAAACATAGGGGTGGCAACGAGTCGAGCTTTTCACAAGCTGTTCAAGCTCAGCTTGGCTCGTGAGGCTCGCGAGCTGGCTCGAATATATATATATATATATATATATATTTGATATTTAATATATATAATAAAATTATAAAAAATAATAAATATATTATATTTATTAATTATTTTAATCCTTAACTTTTAAATATCAAATAAAAAATATTTTTATATAATTTTTTTTTTATTTTTATAAAATATTTTTCTCAAAATCGAGCTCGAGCTGAGCCAAGCTTGAGCTTATGAATTTTTGACTCGAGCCGAGCTCGAGCTCGAGCTTGAATCCACCCCTATAGAAAAGGAAAGTCTGGGTGCAGCCGCCTAGAAGAAAGGTCCAGATCTCTCTCAAAACTTCATGGATCTCCGTAAAACTTTTAGAATATGTTGAGAAGGGCTAGGCGACAACTCCTTTCAAATCTTGCTGCAAAAGGATGTCAAATGAGAGTGATCCAATAAAATTTCTCTCTCTAGATGTGCAGAAAACAAAAAAGAGGTTCCTGAAGAGATCAAAACAGTCTAGGACCACTCAGTAGAGATGTAAGCTCTCAATAGGTCACGAAAACAAGGTGGATCATAGAGAAAGAGGATCAAAGGGCAACCTGCTCTGATACCATGTGAACTGAATTGAGAGCAAGAAGAAAACAGATTTAGGGGTGTCAAGAATAGTTGACCCCCACCCCAAAGAGTCTCTTTTATATTAAAGAGATAAAAGATATGTACAGTTACAAAAATGCCCTTACAGGACTGAAAGATAAAAAGAACAAATAAAATAATAAGAATACGATACTATACAACAAGGACTACTCTAATAGTGTACATCAAGATATATCTTCATAGTAGCATTACTAAAAATCAAAACTGTCCCATGACCTTTTTCCCTAATCATTGCGTTTTCTAGGATCTAGTGACAAAAAGGGCGATTGGGCAAACATAAGTTGTAAATAGAAGTTTGGGAGATTTACTACGTTGTTTAGTGAGTGATCATGTCACACAATGGGATTTGGTAATGCCTACAAATGAATTTGCCTATAATAGCTCTGTGAACTAGAGTACAGATTACAGTCCCTTCAAGAAAGAAATGGGAATTCAGCCTAAGAAGCTGATAGATCTAGTTCCTTTGCCATCAAAAGCAAGACCAAGTAGATCCATGATGAGGTTATAAGGAAGATTTCAACCATCAATGGAGCCTCTAAGTCTCATGCTGACCTACAATGCAGGTTAGTTAATTTTAATGGAGACATGGTAGTATAAAAATTAGGCTTGAATGTGTACCTAAAGGTGTTTACAAGAACCTGCATTCAAGAATAGGGGGCAATTCATCCAGGTTAGGTTGGGTTGAGATCAACCCAATCCCAACCCAAGTTTTTGAACTCCACCCTAACCTTCAACCCTACCTAGTCAACCCTAAACCAAACCCTCAACCCTACTGACCTAATTCACTTGGGTTGGACCCAACCCAAACTATCTCCTGTCTTCTTAAAATCTCTCAAACTATCTTAATCTTTGATGAGGCCAAAAAAAAAAAGAAAGAAAAGGAGTAAAAAAAAGAGAAAACGTGAATGTATTATGTATTTGTATGTTTTTTCGTAGTAGGACCCCAAATTGTTGCTTTTGGGTAGCTTTGTTGACAGTTTGCATCCAAGGGCATTTTCGTTACTTTAATAATTCAGATACTAGTCAGGGACAGTTGGGTGCACATCTGTTGGATTTCGGTTTCTTGGGTCTTTTTATAACAAAAGTTGTCTTTTGGGCTTTTGTTTGATGTTAGTTTTGTTCTTAAGGAGTTGTTTGTGAAAGGGAAACATTCTAGGGGCTTATGTGTAAATATATTAATTGGCTTCTCCAACAAATCTTTGAGTCTTATAAAAGAAGGGGGAGCTGTTTCTATAGAGGTCTTTTTGGTTCTTTCTCTCTTGTTTGAACTGTAGCTCAACTCCAACTAAGATTTTCAAGTATTTGGAGCTTAGGTTTTAAGGAGTCAACCCACTTTGGCATAGTGTACATACCTCCTATTGTCATGTTTACTTTGTTACTTTTCCCTTTTGTTATTTCATTGGCCAAGAGGGCATTCTTGTAATTATACATACATGGTTAATTTTCCTTTTGTTATTTCATTGACACCCTTTAGTTTGTACACTCTACTCCCCTATTCCACATTCTCCTTGGAAAAACCTTAGTATAGATTTGTGATAGGCCTCCTTAAAACTTATGGGGGAATGGTTCTATATATGTTGTGGTTGGTTGCTTCCGAAAATGACTCATTTCATTTTGGATGTCTTGCTGAATACTACATTTAAATAATAGTTGTGCAATGTATACAACATCAGATGTCTTGCTGTAAGGAATGAAATGAGCCATTTTGGGAAGCAACCAACCACAACATATATAAAACCATTCCCCAATAAGTTTTAGGGAGGCCTATCACAAATCTATACTAAGGTCTTTCCAAGGAGAATGTGGAATGGGGGAGTAGAGTGTACAAACTAAAGGGTGTCAATGAAATAACAAAAGGAAAATTAACCATGTATGTATAATTACAAGAATGCCCCCTTGGCCAATGAAATAACAAAAGGGAAAAGTAACAAAGTAAACATGACAATAGGAGGTATGTACACTAATACTATGTTCAAGCATCTCTCTATTGACATAGTTGACTTGTAACAAGAATTTTTTCATTATCAGTTTTTCTTTCTATCCATCTACCTTTTCATCTTACTTTAATTTTTATCAAATAGTGTATAGTTTGGTGGTAAATATTAATAGTCACGTCTCATTAGCATTTTTGTTTATTAATAGGTGTGGTGGGGTCATGGGTAAATATGCAGCTGGTGGAGAACTCAAGCCACCTACTATTGGTTAGTGAAAAGCATCTTTTATCATTAGTTCATAATGATGTAATTTAATATGTCCTCATTGATATCTTAAGTGGTACCTTCATTGTGCTAATATGGTATATTATTTTTTTCAGCAATATTGTATTTGCATTATCAATTAGGGCATAGTAGGACATTATATTCAAGCATTTAACATTTAATTGTATCATCCATTTTCTTAATTTCATAATTTCTATATGGAGTGGAGTTGAATACCTACTCTAAGTCTCTAACATCATGTATAGTGTTGCATGCAGATAGGATTTAGAGATGTTGTTATAAGAAAGGAATCTAGTATTTTGTATGTAAGAAATAAGAAGCTTAAGAACATTTAAGGACTACCACTATAGAATGGTATAAAATGGTGTTGATGTTGTATGTGTCTATTGTTCTTACAAGTTTTACTTTATTTACTTGTAAGTTGTAAGCATAAATGGTGATTGAATAGAATTTAGAGAAGAATAAATAGTTTTGTTAGAAGTCCACTTAATCCCATCATGGCTTACTTTATTAAGTTTTATACTAATGTAGAAGATTACATAAATACCCTTGATTAGTATAAAACATAAAAGGACAAAAAGGCCCATAACCATAAACATTAACACCCTCAAGCTAGGTGAAAACGTTGTACATCCCTAGCTTGCACAAATTGTCTTCCAACTTCAACTGAGAGACTCTGGTTAACAATCAGCCAATTGATCACTTGACTTTACAAGTAGACAAACCTCTCCACCAGCAACCTTTTCACATATGAAGTGTCAATCAACTTCTATATGCTTTGTATTCTCATATCGAATAGGATTATTGGCTATGTTTATTGTAGCCTGATTGTCAAAAAAATAGCTTCATAAGACCTACAAAATCAATCCTCAATTTTGTAAGAAGCATTCTTATCCAAAGTAACTCAAAAGCTATGTCCATGGCTCTATACTTAGCCTCCACACTCAATTGGGCAATGGAAGATTATTTCTTGCTTCTCCAAGAAACAATGTTACTGCCAACAAAGGTACAATAACCCAAGGTCAATCTTCTATCATCAACCAATCTAGCTCAATCAACATTGGTGTAGGATTCTATCCAAGGTTCAAGTATTGGAAATGCAAGGTGTCGAAAAGGCAATTTTAAGAGACGTATTGGGATACACTAGAAAACTCAAGTAAATCTTAAAAAATATATTAATAATAATAAATACAAGTTGATATGATTATAAATAAGTTATTTAAACATAGGAAACAATACTTTAATGGTTTTATAAAAAGTGTGAAATATCCGTTGAAAAATGATGGAAGAAGTAAAATGTGTGTGTGTATATATATATATATATACCTTAATTTTCGGAAAATCAATATAATTTGTCTTAAAATATGTGATCAACACTACATTGTTGCAGTCCAAACTGTTGTATCATACTACTAAATTGACCAAACCAAACTCGCAGTGATTGCTCCATATACACTTCCTCCTAAAAATCATCACGGAGGAAGGCATTCTTGACATCTAACTAAAATAACAACTACTCATAATGAACTGCCAAGGAAATAATTACATAATAACCTATACCATAAGTATGGGTATAACCACTTGCCACCCAATCGTGCTTTATCCCTCTCCACACTACCATCAGCCCAATGCTTCACTGTGTAAACCTAATGACAACCTACTACCTTCTTCCTAGGATGGAGAGGAGTGAAATCCCTTGTATGATTTGAGACAAGAGCATAAAATTTCTCATCCATTGCCCGCTTCTAGTTTAGTGACACAAGATCCTCCTTAACTGAGCTGGAAACATATACAAAAAAGACAAGGGACACAAACTTCCGATAGGAAAGAAACAAATGAGCAAAAGAAACATAACATGAGATAGGATGTTCAGTACAAGAGCGTTTACCTTTTTGAAAGGAAATAGGTTAAGTCAAAATCAAAAGGATCCTTCAATTGTGAAATCTGTGGTGGCTTGACAAAAGTTGGAGTTGTAGGTAAGGTTAATCTGCATGGTACTTTCATGTACACTTTGAATGGTCATGTAGATGCGTCAATTGTTGAAATTGGTAGGGAAATCTCTATGGTAGGAATAGGAAGAGGATGTGGAGATAAGAGTGATGTAATGACTGAAAAATAGGGAATGTTTTGAAAGGAGACATTAGGAAGAACAAAGGACAGAGGAAGAGTAGGACTATTTCACTTAAGGGCTCAAGCATCAACTTTATCTAGCCTAAGGGTGAAGAGGAAATAGAGACAGAAGGAAAAAGGAGAGAAAAGGGAGATTCACCATTAAGGACCTAAGAGGCATACAATTAATAAGGAAACAAGACATAAGTACAACATCACTCCCATAAATTTTAGGATCCGGCATCGGAATTGGAAGAGCCCAAACACAAGCAATATCAAGTAAATGTCTATTATTTCATTCAGTTACACCATTTTGTTGAGGTGTATGCGAACAAGAAGATTGATGAATAAAACCCTAGGAATCAAAAGGAAAGAAATATATTGAACAATTTTGAATGGGATTTCATTAAATGAATCCATGTCTTTCTAGAATAATCGTCAATAAATGTAACAAAATGTTTAAATCCATTGTATGGATCAATACAACTTAGACCCCAAACATCAAATTGAACAAGAACAAAAGGACTTGATTCTCTTTTATTTTCCCTTGGAACTAAGGATACTTGATGTGCTTTCTAAGTTAGCATGACTCACATTGTAATTCACTAATAGGCACTAAACCATAAGCTAGCTTTTTGAGAACAAGAAGAGATGGATGACCCAACCAACAATGCCATTGTAGAGGTGAAAGTGTTATACGTAAAGCTCTTTGTCAGCTGCCACCATCTAGTAGTACAATCCTCTAGATTCATGCCCGCTACCAATCGTCTTCCTTGTCTTGAGATCCTTAAACACACAAAACACACAATGAGAAGGGAAGATTGAGACATAGCAATTGAGAGATTGAATAAGTTTACTAACATACAAGGGACTAAACAGAAATTTAGGAACATATAATACAAAAGGTAAAGTTAAATTAGAATCAAAAGAGACATCACTTATACCGGAGATGATTAGTATCATTAGCTGAAGTAATGGTTTGGGAAGTGAGGGAGGGGATAGAGAAACAAAATGGTCTAGAGACCCAGTTGTATATGTTTGCTGACTTACAATGGTGATTAGAGCAAAAGAAAGAAAATAGAGAAGAGAGAAGATGGATGGGTGGCAAGTGTGTCCTCAGCCGGTCCTAAAGTAATATTTATATTAAGAGGATAATAACACATAAAAAACATATTTACCCCTGATTAGTGAAAGCATACTTTAACACAAAAAAAGCTAATTTTGCCTAATAACTTCGGGCCCAATGTAGCAAAAATGTCTAAAACATAAAGAGGAAACAACTCACTAATATTGTCACCCATTACAATACTCCCCTTTAAGTTGAGCATATATATCCATCATGCTCAACTTGCAAGCAAACTGTAGAGAAGATGGGCCGAATGTCCCATAGCCCACAACTGTGCTTTATATTTTTTTTATGTTCTGTTCTGTTAATGGGCCTTTTCTTATGGGCTTGTTAGCATTAGTTTTCTCTTGTTTTAATTAACTAGCCACCCTACTAAGGGCTTACTTGTAATTTTTTGATAATTAGTGATTAATCATTTTTAATGAAAGGATTAGGGGAAGCAGTGATGTACAAACAACCCTTCTCACAACCGATCTCTTCTTCTTCTTCTTCTTCTTCTTTTTGCTGCTGCTATCTCCTTTGTTTTCCCCCTTCTTTTAATCAGTATTCTTATTCTTTTGGGACTGTTTTTCTTCTTGGTATTAGAGCAGGTCCCTTTTTCTTTCCCTTTTTTTTTTCTTTTTTTTCCATACATAGTGTGTATGGAGAGTTGAATCAAATGATTGATTGAAGAAGATATTCAGCTCAGTTGGTAGTGGTTTCTTGGAAAAAAAGAAGTGATATTCTTCTCATCTTTTTAATAGTTTTTGGTTTTGCCCCAAAACCCTAATCAACCAGAGAGTTTTTGATTGCGGGTCCCACAAGAAGCTTCACCTTGACGCTCAGTGGCTGAAGGGGATCTTTTGGTTTGCCTTGAAGATCAATCCAAGATCCAAGCTTTGCATAGTTTTGTGAAGCCTACAGGGAGCGACTGCCTTTTTTCTATTTCTCTCGAGTTTCGAGTGAGATGCAGTTGGCTGTTAGGGATATGTGAAGGTTGGTACTTGGTGTTATTTCCTGTCTTCTTTGTGTCATCTGAAACTGTTTTAGGAGTTGTTTGAGGAAGATGGATGCTTCTGGAATTGAAAATAAGACGAGCTTAGAGTTCGAACAGGTTCCGGGAGCACCTATAGACTCTTTATTGGCTGTGACCACAGTCAAGCTTGATGGGACTAACTATCTAGCATGGTCACAATCAGTAAAGATACATATTTGCAGTAGAGGCAAGTGAAGATATATTTCCAGGAGCAAGAAAGCACCATAGGATGATAACATGTCTTATGAGAAATGGTTGCAAGAGAATTATACAGTTATTGGGTGGTTAGTGAATTCGATGCAACCGCAAATTAGTCAGCACTATTTGTGGATGAATTCTACTAAGGAAATATGGGATAGTATTGATGAAATCTATTCACAAAAATTGAATGTGGATAGGGCTTATAAGTTGAGAAGTGATGCGAACAATCTAAGGTAGGGGGATAAACCTTTAGCAGTCTACTTCTCAATGCTGAAATCCTTGTGGCAAGAGAGATCTCATGGAAACAGTTGTCTGGGAAAGTACAAATGATGCAAAAACATATAGAAAATTAGTTGAGAGGAATGGTGTTTGAATTCCTGACAAGGTTGAATCCAAAATTTGATATTATCAGACAGAACATCCTAGCTAAAGACAATGTATCTTTGTCTTAGGCTTATGCCATGGTGGTAGTGAGGAGAGCAAAAGGATGGTTCAGGTTCAAGGGACTAGTCCAGTTGACCATTTTGCTAA